GAGCTGAGGCCGAAGTCCTTCGGATCCGATCTTACGAGAGTACGACCTTAACACAGGCAAAGAGTCTCCCTAACATTCAAGAAAGCCTACCAGGGGTCGCCAAACTAGCCTATCTGAATATCATCGTGATGAGGTCACCACAGGAGAAAGCTTGAGATTGCCAACTAACCTATCCAAACATCATCGGCATTCAAGTTGGTCCACCTATCCGAACATCATCGGCATTCAAGTTGGATCAAGGTGAGATCGCCAACTCACCTATCCAAACATCATCGACATTCAAGTTGGATCAAGGAATCGCGACGAGGTCACCATGCAGAAAGCTCGGGGTCGCCAACTAACCTATCCGAACATCATAGGTATTCAAGTTGTTCAATTCTTTCTTATATCACCCACACAATCACTTATACAATCGTCTACCTACTCTTTCTTATATCACCGATCAAACCAGAAAACTTCTCATATATGTAGTCCTATGCGGTACATGAAAAAAAACAATTACAAAGCAGAGATGGTGTCAGTCGTTTATTGAGTACAAAAAATCAGCCATGTCTTCGGTGACCACTTCGTGCTCTTCACGGTCAAGGGCTTCAATATCATGGAATTCCGACGCAGAAGAATCAGGATTCTCTGCTTGTGCTGTGGCGAGAATTAATGCGATATAGGTAGTTAAAGATCCACACTCACCGGAACTAGCACCGTTGGTATTGACTGGTCTGCTGAACGCAGGATTCGCAAGGCGAGTTCCAATGCCACTAATACCAGAGAATCCAAATAGTCTCTCAATCTGATCTAACCGATATGTGTGCACAGCGTTGATAGCCGCCCGTGAGCGCCACTGGCGTTTCAACTCGGCAGCAAGCAAAGGGTTAGCTACAAGAAGTTCGTCGATAACGGCAGACGTGTCAATGGTTTCATCGTGGATAGCAGTTCGGAGCCGGCGAATTTCAATATTGAGTCGAATAATTTCTTCGCGAGCTCGGCAGAGCTTGAAGTACTTTGTAGTCGCCTCACGGTGAGCTGGCCTTGCCCAATCCTTGTCTTGGATGTCAGTACGAGAGTCACGCAGAAGGTCAAACTCGCCAAGGAAACTGTATTCGGCAATGTCTTTCCATGCGATCGTTTGTCTCGGTGGGATGAGGGAAGCAGCCTGGATATTGTAGCGATTGATCGCGTTGCGAATAGTGTCCGAGCGCCGCTGTAAAGCTTTACTAATCTGTTGACGTAGTTTGTATCCTAAACAATTTGTAAACGAATCAGTCATAGTACAAGCGCTTACTAGTAGTGGAAATCTCAAACCTGTGCCCGATAACGAGAGCTTTGAGAGTTCAAACAATCTCATGACGACCAAACGTTCGAGTTCATCCAATGCAGTACGATACTTGCCGAGTGTCGCTTCCTCCTTGAAACGTTTGTATTCGTCACCGCCAATCAACCATCTCTCATCGACAGATAAGAGTGTTTCGCAATGAGCAACAAGCCCCTCGGCATGCTGTAATTTGGCGTATGAAGAATTAACTCGGATGCGAGCTTGCTTCAGGGCGTCATGCATCTGTTCCAAGCTGCCAATATGTACTCCATTAAGAGCGTTATTGCCAGATTCACGGGCGAGATCCCATTCAGCTCTATTAAAATTCATATCAGGGGATGGGTGGTAGTTAGTAGTCGATGGCACGATACCTTCTTTCAGCGAGTTCATCTAGTACTTCAACGTAACGTATAGAGAGTCGATCTCGTGGAGCTGGCTGCTTCAGACCATCCAGATATATGCGTTCCTGATCAAAGAATCCAGGGAAGTCGTTGTCGCTAAGGCGTAGCTCGGCCTTGATAGTTTCTAGCTCGGCTGTCAGCAACCGAACAGATTTCAACGCTTCGCGATAATGAGTCCACAAATAATTACCTGACACTGCGGCATCAGTATTACAATTACAGCTTGATTTTTTGACTTACTAAGTGCAGCATACTTATCGGCATCCCAAAAAGCGAAATGTTCCTCGATGGCTTGGTGGCGATGAAAACGGTTAGCATGCCTTGTGCTACGCGCAAGCTCGTTAGATGCAGAGAAGATATGCTCACAACCCTCGCCCTCAGTATGGCCAGTTCCAGAGATATACATTGGGTGCCAGTCAAGCTGACACCTTCGATTGTGCGCATGGCCATGGAAGGCGCCAACCATCATCCGAAAGCCGAGATCGTGTGCACGAGGGCCCAACGTACTATTAGCTAACGTCTTCGAGAATGCGCAACTGATATTGTACGCGCAACCTCCATTTTTTCCATATACCGTAAGGAGTTTGTCGATGATCGCTATCAGATATTTCGCACTGCCAGAATACATTAGTAATATAAAAATTAGATCAAAATGCGGTCTTACAGTTCTCCGCTTCGGATCATATCACACGCGAGAAGCACAAAGCGATGGCGGCATGAAGCGATAAAAATACCTGACTCTTGGAATACGGCAAACATCTTCTTACGTGAGTCTGGGCCAGCGTTTCTCCATCGATTGACGCATGTGAATGCTCCCGGATGATCCGGGTCTGTAGGCTCATCCTCCCAGTCGTCATCATTCCTCAAGTCTGTCTAAAAGATAATGTTAGAACATAGTTGTATACATAGTAAACACTTACTTGTCGGGATTTGACTTCATTCTCAAACTTGTCAACAGCGTCAGCATGAATCCAATAATCCGAACGAGCTGTGCGAGAATCAGATCGGGCGGTGGTACCATAGATGGACGAGTCCCATCACTTCAGGCTATTGTTACCGTCAATTGATACCAGCCATTCAAAATCGAAGGCAGGTTCATCGTCGAGCTTGTAAAAGCATGCAGGGCATGTGTTTAACATACGCCAGTTGACGGTATCCCGTTTGAGCGCCTGACGCAGACGCTGGTTGATGCGATGGAGGATTTCTAGAAAAACGTCATAGGCTGCCGAGAATTGCATTTTTAAGTATGGCCGATATGGAATCTACAAACTCAACGTAAATAAACGAACCTCAATGTGAGGAATGTACGTACATCGTGAAGGTAACATAAAGTCTTGCATTGTGATTGGATACTGAACCGGGGACACATTCGGTGCGACTGACGGTAGGCAGCGAGTGTACGAAGCGAGATGGCAACAGAAGGATACATCGGGGCACACCCGATGTACCCATAGTAGATGAGGGTTTCATTCGGGTATTGATGAGACGGTAATGGTCGTAGATGCGAGCGCCTTCGTGCTGCAAAGAAAAAATAAGTACAAGATATCAAGGAACGTTTCAGACTTACTGAATGTATCAATGAGTTCAATCTCATTAATTGAGAATGAAGCATCGACACCTGACAGGACCTGATCTGAAATATCAGGCATACCGTCCCCGGAATCTCGACTGCGATAGTTTAAGTAGGCGTCAACGAGACGATCTATCTGAAGGCCCCAATGAGCGGTTTGAGTGTCGATGTGTTCTCCCCGAATTCGTGGATCAATGTGATGACTACAATGGGTGTTAATATTTGAAGAGTTGTACACAGTGGTGAATACGTACTATCCAGTTAGATCCGCCAGTTGATGAGCAAGGTCTTCAAATGCCTCATGCTCCCCACCTGCGTGACTGAGGTCAAAGGCCTCTTCACCTGGAGGCACTGTATGGGTGAACACCTCCACGTCCATTCCAAAATCTGCCATCATATTTTCGACGCGGCTTCGGTCCTCTGATGACATTTCTAATACAACAATAAGCGTTAATGATAAAAAAAGAAAATAGTACATACCTTGTATAGCAGCCTGGCGGCTGGAATCTGCCTCTGCCATACGCTGGCTTTGTTTGCCGGCTGCCAGGACTTTGGAATAGCGATGACCCCCTCTAAAACCATGGGAAATGATGGATTTCGAGAGCCCTTTGACCCTCCCGACACCTGAGGCACGAGGCATTACTGGGTTGGGGCGACGAAGGCACGAGGGAGGCGGGAAACGGCAGATACGAAGGAGGGCAACGACGAAAGCACGAGGGAGTTGGGAAACGGCAGGTACGGACGACGACGACGACGAAGGTACGAAGGAGGTTGAGAAGGCACGAGGGAGGTGGGAAACGGCAGGAACGAAGGAGGTTGACGACGACGACAAAGGCGGAACAATGGGGGCACGATGGAGGCAGGGAACGGCAGGGACAATGAGCACAGTGATGAGGAGAGCTAGGAAGCGTGAGAAGGGCCCCTTGGTTCGAATTAGGAAGCGTAGTAGGCGTTGCCGAGCGTGCCGAATTAAAATAGGAATATGACGCAATTAAGGCAGGGCGGGATGCTTACCGAATATAGCCTATGCGCGCGCGCGCGCGCCCACCATAGTGAGGTGTACATAGTTTTTTTGAAGGTATTTTGAGGAGCTGGGGCACTATTTAACGCTGGTGTAGGGATTTGATGAAACCAAGCCTAATTATAGTTGGCGAGACACGTAACTGCCAAGTATAATAAGGCTTATTAATAGGGCAACCCAGGTGCGACCTAAATGCACCCAGTGACATCATCTACACTGCTGAAGATGATGAGGCCATCGAAAAGTATCATCGTGACTGCTGTATGTGTTAGCTTTTTCATTTCTATCCTTTCAGCTACTTACTGGATCGAATCATAGTGCAAACGACTTGGCACTCACTGATTCTCTTCCGTCTGTTGTGTGCTCAAGATATAAACCAAACATACGCTTCAGTGAGCCCTTAAAATTTCTTCCGAGGTCATCTCATCCGCTCCTCTCCAGTCAGTGAATGCCGAGCTACTGTCATTTATTGCTGGAGTTGCCAGATATCAGCCGATCAATTCGCAGAGACTTATTTACAAGCAACACGATTGGGGATACCCTGTACTCCATGACGAAGATGTCGAGGATGTCGAAGTAATGTATCGCTAGTTTAGTTGTTCGTTCGACTTTTGTACCTAACTATGTTTGAACATTTTTGACATACTGTTTTTGGCTCCAGGTCTCGAACCCTTGCTGAACCGAAACCGGACCATTATTGGACCGAACTGATGGTCCGGTCCACGGTTCTTCTTGAACTGACCTGATGATGGTTCTCTGAATTTCCTAGAGAACAGCTGTACTTATCTTTTATCAAGTCGCTCTCTGGCCGGTACAAGTGGTGAATGATAAAACGCTTCATTACGGCCACAGTAAACTAAATTTAAACTCGAACTAACTCGATCATGGTCCCCGGTATTTACACTGCTATCCTGATGCGCTTAAGGCTCAATAGCTGAGAAGGCTCATGATGTGAAAGACATCTTTTGAACTCTTTGAAATGGAGTATTCGATTGACGATGTCGCAGCAGCAAGGAGTTTGCAGCTCTCCACGGTATGTCTCCTTGTCGATACGACGATGAATCATAACTCACAAGTTATGTATACCAGTACATATATAGTGCGTACTACTGTTTGAACGTCATATTATTTGTCCTGATACAGCTCAGCATCGATGGCTGCGTTCTGGGTAGGCTTATTCTCGTTTATTCATGTCCGCTGTAACTCCCTTATCTAGGCCTATGATTATGCATGTTCACTTCATGAAGAGGTAATACGCTTCTTCCATGATACACTTTAGATTTGATACACACAATGTGATATGCAAAGTGGATATTTTTGCTTCAATCGCACTGGAGCAAGATGAAAGGCGTGTATATTGTTACAAGATACCTTCCCTTTATCCTTCTCGTCATAGATCTATATAGTATGTTCCGCTCCAGCACACATCGCCTTGTTTGATTCATTAACATTTTTTTTTTCAGTGATCTTTACCCCGAATGAGAACCTAGTTGTATGTAATGAAGTGGAGAGTTAATGAGAACGAACAACTTACTCTACGACTTCGCCAGACATGCGGGATGTTGGCCAATATTAGCTTAGGTACGTGCACTGGTACATTCATCTATGTACAGTATTGCTGAGGGCAGCCTACTCTCTCTCACAGGGTTCGGCATTCTATTATCTGTTTGCGCCGAGTGTATATCTCCTTCCTCCCTAAGATATGCATGTTGCTGATCCGATTCATCCAGGGTTTTTCATCCTCAGGACATATGTACTCTGGGACAGAAATAAAATTTTGCTAACGGCCATCTTGGGCACCTATCTCGTGAGTTCCCAATCCACTCACCATACACAAGCCAGTGGTAGATCCATCAGTCAGTCGTTTCTCGCAGCAACCATCGTCATTGCCATCGACGCTAACATCTCCGCAGCATGTACGCGCTCTCACCTTCCCTCTGGTGTTCCATGATAACTGAAACATTCTGTTCACTTTCACAGATGCGACTAGCCCGATCCCGGGCATCACAGGGTGTTACCAGAGTTCAACCAGTGACCGGATTTTTATCCCATTTGTTCTCTTTTCTGTGTTCGAACTGGGTAACACGGTGCATAGATACGTACAAATACGCGCTAACAAACATTCTCCCCAGGGCTGATCATCATCACGCTCATACGTGCCATGCAGGGCTGGCGGAGAACCCCGTGTCATCTGTACGTTGTCCTGGTGAACCATAACATATTCTATTATACTAGTTCTTTCTGTGAGTTAACGCTTGCACGCGCCGTTTTTCTGTGCTCATCGATGATAATTTTGTTTCCTGAAGTTTTCGCGACAATGAACATGTTCACATCGCTGTTCCTCCAGGTGGGTGTATATTCTACAGGTCGTCTATGATGCGCCGTTGATTTTCTGCGCCCCAGGACTCCTACCGGACAGTTTTGAATGGGTATGTACCTCCGCATCCTACTGCGTATTCCTACTGATAACACTCGAAATGTACACCCACGTGCAGTTTCCAGTTCCTGACCCTTGCGATCTTTGCCGCGCGCATGCACATCCATCTCTGGCAGACAAACCAACATCCACGTGGCCCTAGTAGCATGATCCATTTGTCAGACATGTCATTTGTGGATATCACGGCGTGATGTCTTGTCCTGCGGTTTATTCAGTGTCGTTCATGGAGTGAGGCTTGGGCTGTACGAGATGATTGGTGGGGGTTTGGTAGAGTTCGTTACGTATTTGATTTACAGGACGAGTCTGTCGCGAGGCGGATGGTGCATTTGGAGAGTGAGCTATGTGTAAGATACATGATGCGTAAGAAACAATTGAGTAACAGGGTTGCTAGATGATTTTATGACTGACGCGAAGTGGGAGGACGACCAAAGTAAAATCGGCAGCAGCAACAGGTAACTTCGTAGGAAACTTTTTCCCTTCCACCAGTTGACTGGTGTGTTTCTGTTGGTCGTGCTTGAGACCCTTGCGCCCCTGCCAGCGCTTGAGATGGTTGTGCCCCTGCCAGTGCTTGAGATGGTTGTGCCCCTGCTGGTTGACCTGATTGCGTTGCATTGTCGGCCTGGTTGCTGTTCGTACGTTCCATAGCTGCAGCCGCTTCCGCATCAGTTTCAGGGACAATGCCATATCTCTGCAGTGTATTATAATGCAACGAAATTGGAGGGACGACGAGTTACTCACATTTTCATCTTGAGCAAGAGAGACACCGACGGCGTGCGTGGAATGTCCTCCAGAAAACGACTTGAGGTTGAAATTATAGTGTCAGCACCGTCGTTCGATTGGTTGGGATGCATTTGAAGGTTGTGTGCCGAAATGGAACTGAGTAAAACAACGCCAATGAATGAAGGATGATGGACTTACAGGAGGAGCTGCACGACGAGATGCATCATCTAATTCGTCGCCAAAGGAATCATTGCCCTGTGTCTCGGTGTTAGGCTGGGCTGTACGTTCCTAGTAAAAGGTGAGATGCAGTGTGAAAGAGAAGCAGAAAAGACCTGCCTTTAGCTTTGCATTCCCATCATCTGCACCCTAGAAAGTGAAAACCATTAGGAAGGGAAATTAGACAACAAAGTGCATACGCACGACAACGTTTTTGAGCATCGCTTCCAGATTCCACACGTAGATTTTTTTGTCTAGTCCAGCACTGGCAATGTATTTGCCATCGGGGGACAAGGCAAGAGCGAAGACTTGGTCATCATGCAAGAGTGGATCTCCGACAGCCTGGTTAGTCTTGAGATCCCAGATACGAATGGAATGGTCGTATGATCCGCTAACAATATAGCTTTCATTCGGAGTAAGACAGAGTGATCTGACGGCGCGGGTGTGACCCTGAAGAACAACGAGTTCCTGTCCATCAATAACCCGCCATTTTCGGATAGTTTTATCAAGTGAAGCAGAGAAGATGTGTGCACCGTCCTTGGACCAACACAATGACGCCACCCAGTGCTCATGTCCCTTGATTTCGATAAGCAGCTTGCCGTCCATTGACCATATGCAGATTGAACCGTCAACCCCACCGCTCATGAACTTGTCGCCTTTTGGAGAGTATTTGACAGCATAAACCCATCCATGACTGGTCTCTATGGGTGGTGCTATTTGTTGACCAGTATTCGGGTTCCAGCGTCGTATGGTGCCATCTTCAGATCCACTTGCTATCTCCAGGGAACTGGGAGGCCAATCAAGGCACATCACTGGAGCATTATGCCCCTCCCACGGGTCGCCGATCATGCTGCCCTCCTTTATATTCCACATCCGCAGTCTGCCGTCTTCACTCCCACAAATGACCGTTGTTTCATCCGGAGATACTGCCATCGAACCTAAACCTCCCCCGTCGTTATTCAGAGGTTTTCCCACTGCTTCTCCGTCTCTTTTCCACTGACGAATCGAACTATCGTCAGATGCGCTCATTACATTGCCACTGGTACCCAAGTAGGCAAGGCTCCATATGCAATCGGAGTGACCCTCGATGACACACTCCGGCATCAAGCTTCCTGCTGGACGTTCTGGCTTTGGTTTCTTCCATGACGTGGTCCGAGTATTGTGGTCGACAAAGTAGGACCGACCGAGTGGTGAGATGTGCCATTCCCATCCAGGAACAGCGAGATATCCAGGATCATCTATGGTCAACGGTGAGTTCGTCGCTCCTTGTCGCAATTTCATCCCTCACCTAGTCGCACTCCTGGTAAAGGTCGGCTCCACGAGGTCATCACGAGCGTGTCATCTTGATATCCTGTTTTACCATCCGGCGTCTTGAACTGTTGCCACATATGAGGAAGCGCTTCATTCCCGCCTGATTCTATTTGAGCAAGCTGGTAGGGATCACAAGGTAGCTGCTCACCTTCCCAAAGCGCACGCTGGCGGTGCTGTGCACCATATGGCGGTGGATATTTCGACCGATATATCGATGAGTGCAATGGCGCTTCTCCTCGTCTCGTTGACATGCTTGACTCAGCTTCTTCGTGTTGCACGACAAGGATGTCGTGTTGTACAGACAGACTGGACAGTGAAATACTGCGCAAAGTCAGTAATCGAGAGGAAGGAGAGATACGGGGCAAAAGTGTCGAAGACCTGCTATTTGGGTCAGTTTTGCATGCTGTGGTTGCAGGCGCTTTGCTGACACCGCATGTCAATGGCTATGTAACCACCAGATCAAGTACTTACCTTGGTCCGGTTCAGATTTTGAGGCAGTTCGACGTACATTGGTCTGTTATGTATGTCTCATCAGCGAATGTAATTATATGATGTTTGTTTGGGCGGGTACATACACATATCGAATTCGTACGCCGTGCATAGCGCGTAGCAGCACTCCCAAGCAAAGCACCACCGGTGGTGACTCGGACAAGTAATTGTATGACCGATGGGAACGTATATATACAGAAGTTGCTTGATGTTAGCTGCGCACCATTGCTGTAATCAACACCCCTGGGCGTTGATAGTGCCCAAATCAAAGTTTTCTCGTCTCAGTAAGCAGAGAGTTTACATCAAAGCCGAAGTCATGTTCAAAACTTCAGATGAACTTCACCAGCTTTCCCTCATATTGCAGTCAACAACCATGACCTTGATTCACTGACCAGAGGAACCCTGATGTAGGCTACGTGGCATCAACCTGGACGCTCTCACCCGTCTGCGTGACCTGCTGCACGACTTCAAACAAGACGCCTCCCATTGCTCTCGCTCAAACATGCGCGCTGAGAAACGGTAAACGTGTCGAGATTAAGTAGTCTGCGAGAGCTTTCCCACAAGAAGACCAGTACGAATCACTGTTTGAAGATTATTATAAGCGACAAGATATCAAAAGGACGTACCATAGATCGCCCACTTCTCTACTGGACTCAATTCGATCTGCAGGATCGACACGACAAGGTGTGCAAGTGGAATCCTAAGGTTATGGCATCGATCGCTGCGGATTGACTTTCCGAGGAGGATGGTAATGAAGAAACGTAAGAACGTGTGGAATGATCAGCAGTTTCTCTGCATACAGTATGAATCAAATGTCGACCACAACCTTCATCAGTTAAATGCAATAATACGTACGGCTGGCCAGATTGTATGAATGCATCAACAACGGACCCGACTGTGTTCTTTCCCAGAGATATCCTATTCTTGCAACCACTGCTCAACATCTTTTCTGGATAGACGCAAAGTATCGAGCTCTTAAATATTGGCGGCGACTTTTAGTAACGTGGTCTCAATAGGTAGGCGGAGGGCTGAACAACGAGGAGTAGCATTGAATAAATTTGATATACTGTTTAAAAACTGAGCGAGCACACAGCCTGCTCAAAATGTAGTACTCACATGCGGGACTTCACTGATGGATGCTCGGAAGGTAATAAAGTAAGAACACCCAGGAGCGAGGAGACGTGATGTTGAATTTCCGGTGAGTTAGTCGGCCATGCCATAGTGTTAGAAGGTGAGACCAGTCGGAGAAGAGAAGGTTGAAGTCGCCCTCGATTTCTGCACTTCAAAATCAGATCTAATTCACTGCAAAAAATGCTGAGGATCCCCGGGCGCACCTTGTTCTCATCCATTGCCAAACCTTTTCGTCTGATCCAGTGGAGCAGGAATCTTCAGAGCGACTAATGTTTTGAAGCACTCTACCGCGGGTTTGAAATGCCGCGAGGAACCAAATTCGAAGCTTGGTTAAAAAGGTTTTTTGAGCATCTTGCGGTCAAGACTTGTAGTGATGAAGAGTTGTATCTGGATATTTATGAGCGATGAGTGCATGTTTTTAATGGGGGTGGGGTGGCTAATATTAATGCGATTAATAGCAGAGGTGCCTTAGAAGTTAGTCCTCCATCAGCCATGCCAAGTTTAAACTCAGATCATATGATGTGTTTACACGGCCACCTTGATGGGTCCACAGCTCAGCGCTCAGCGCTCATTCATCATAAGAGCTAAGTAAGAAGGTGCATGGTGTGTATGTGAAACATATTTATGTAACACATAATGAACCATTCGGCGATGAAGCTCGCTCAACGTCCTAGACATCTCCATTGTTTGCCTCATGCAAAAGTCGGGGACAGGAAGCTTACATGAATCTCAGTCCGTACGTATCTTCTGGTCGGGCTTCAGGTAGCCAAGGTGTGCAGCACGCGAAGTCTCGAGGACCGTGCACAACACTATCCTGGTCATTTTTTCAGCGAAACTACTGTCTCTGGCACCGGAGGTGTAATCGTACCTTTGATTGAGTTGCTCCCTACCTGGTGCCTGTAGCTATGTCACCTTTCGGCCGGTGGCCATGCTCATCGAGCTAGCCTGTTAATTCTCAATTGCAGGATCTCTTTGCGGAAACCCGAGCCGGTAAGTGAATCGTCAGTTTTCCCTTGCAGAAGGGCCTGAAATATTGCACCTGTCAGGTGAACTTGCGCTATTTTTGCATTTTGGCAGTGCTAGATGAACAGCGTTTCTGGAAGATTGCTAATTGGTTTTTTGCTAGCAATGCTGTATTATAAGAGCCTAGATGTGTAGTACGAATTGTTGATCGAGCAACAGCCCACACATATTTCACTGCCCATCAAACACATCGAGAGGCAACTTCCAGCCCACGCTCGGGTTGACCACTCTCTGCGGAGGGTGCGAAGCTGCCGCTGTCTCCAACCTCTTGTGGGAGTTCAAATACTGGTTGACTCGAGTGATGCTGCCTCGCGAAAGTTTGGACTTTCTCACCTGCAAGGTTCTCTGTGATGCGAGAAGGTGTCATGCTCTTCGGCAGGATGATCGTCTATCGATTTGGAAAGGTGAGTTATGACGCAATGCTAAAGAGATATCGACATACGCCGCGCTGGACACTCCACGAGATAATAACCTGAGCCGGGGTGATCCCAAGTTTGCATGCGATGTCTTCAACCTGTAAGAGTGCTTAGACGACAAAGCCTCGTCCTCGCGACTGGAAATGGTACCTGACAAACAGAGACTTTCCGATTTGCTTGTAGTTACCTAGGGGAGAGTACACCTCGAGAAGAAACCCATTTTCCTTCGAGCACTACGGATTACTCATGAACGTTGAACCCGAGCGCAAGTGTCTACATGTATGAGCTAGAAACATACCTGCAACATTTCGGGTTGAGGGTTCCAAAAGTTGAGCTCGACTTGATTGACAGCTGGCTGGTACTTCAGATTGTTCGCCGTCAAATTCTGGATCCAGAATTTTAAATGAGAGACTTGACTAGACTATAAAGTAGCCGTCGTGCAAATTCTACGAACATCACGCGATGTGACAAGATTGTGAGGGAGACGTTTCGAGTAGTTACTACTAGTCAGTAGACTCATTGATGCATATCCAAGTTGTACAAACACATGTTTGAACAATCTGTGTACGATTTGAGCAGTACGTACTCGATGCTGCGCAAAATCTGACTTCAACGTTTCAACTAGTCGCCTTTCAAGCAAACATCAAGCTCCCCGCACAGAAGACCACCAAGAGTTACATTCCAGAAAACGAGGCCAACTTCCCCGGTGGTGTTGTCAACACGTGGCGTGGATCCATGGAAAGTAGGGAAAGGGAAAGGAGGTGCACAAGGAGAGATGGATCCGAGTGCGTGGGTGATAGTTATGGTGTCGAAGATTGATTATGAGAGTAGTTAGACACAGGTGCGGGGGAAAGATGGATCTGAGTGCGTGGGTGATAGTTATAGTGGCGAATATTAATTGTGAGAGGAATCAGACACAGGTGTGGGGCAAAGAGGGTTGAACTGAGTGTGCGTGTGTCACACGTCTTCCATGCTTCATGACTGATGCGAAGCAGGACGACGGAGACCAAAGAAAAATCCGCAGCAGCTCACTCCTTCGTACACAAAGTCTTCCGCTCCGCCAGTTGAGCCTTGTGCTTGTTCTTGGATTGGTCGTGCTTGAGACCCTTGTGCCCCTGCTGGTTGACCTGATTTAATTGCACTGTTGGCTTGGTTGCTGTTCGTACGTGCCATAGCTGCAGCCGCTTCCGCATCAGTTTCATGGACAATACCATATCTCTGGATTGTATTTTAATGAAAAGAAATTGGAGGGACGACGAATGACTCACATCTTCATCTTGAGCAAGAGGTACATCGACGGTGCGCGTGAAATGTCCTCCGGAAAACAACTTGAAGTTGAAATTCCAGTGTCGGGAATTTCGTTCGATTGGTTGAGATACATTTAGAGGTCGTGTGCCGAAATATATGGAAGTGGGCAAACGACGCCAACGAATGAGGGACGATGGGCTTGCGGGAGGAGTTGCACGACGAGACGCTTGGTGTGATTGGTTGCTAAAGAAATCATTGCCCTGTATCTTGGTGTCAGGCGAGAGAGGTGAAGAACAAGAAAGCGCGCTGACATATCTTGTTTCTTTAACCTGCTGATTAGACGAAAGACGGAGGTCAAAGGTCTGACGAAACATATGAGAAAAGGTGGGGTTGCTCACGATTGGTGGGCGCACAACTCTCGGTTGGGCTGGATGTTCCTAGTGAAAAGTGAGATGTAGTGTGAAAGAGAAGTAGAGATGACTTGCCTGGAGGTTTGCATTGCCATCATCTGCGTCCTAGATGGCCAAAACAGTTAGGAAGGGAAATTAGACAACAAAACGCACACGTACCACAACGTTTTTGAGCGCTGCCTCCAAGCTCCATACATAGATTTTTTTGTCTAGTCCAGCACTGGCAATGTATTTTCCATCGCGGGACATGGCAACAGCCCTGAGTTCGTCATCATGCAAGAGTGGATCTCCGACTGCCTGATTGGTCTCGAGATCCCAGATGCGAATGGAGCAGTCAGCTGATGCGCTAATAATATGCCTTTCATTGAGAGTAAGACAGAGGGATCTAACGGCGTGGGTATGACCCCGAAGAACAACGAGTTCCTGTCCATCAATCGCCCGCCATTTTCGGATGGTTCTATCATTTGATGCGGAGAAGATGTGTGCGCCGTCCTTGGACCAACACAATGACATTACCCCATCATCATGTCCCTGGATCTCGAGAAGCAGCTTGCCGGCCTTTGACCACACCCGGATTACATCATCTGTGCCGCCGCTCATGAATTTGGCGCCTTTCGGAGAGTATTTGACGGTCATAACCCATCCATGACTGGTGTCGATGGGTGGTGCTATTTGTCGACCAGTATTCGTGCTCCAGCGTCGTATGGTGCCATCTTGCGATCCACTTGCTATCTCCAAGGAAGTACCAGACCAATCGAGGCACCTCACTGGAGCATTATGCCCCTCCCACGGGTCGCCGATCATGCTGCCCTCCCTTATATTCCACAGCCGCAGTCTGCTGTCTGCACTTCCACAAATGATCATTGATTCATCCGGGGACACTGTCATCGAACCTATCCATCCCCCGTCGCTATTCAAAGGTTGTCCCACCGCCTCTCCGTCTCTTTTCCACTGACAAATCGAACTAGCGTCAGACACGCTCATTATATTGCCACTGTTACACAAGTAGGCAAGGCTCCATATGCATCGAGAATGACCTTCGATGACGCACTCCGGCATCAAGCTTCCTGCCGGTCGTTCTGGTTTTGGTTTCTTCCACGACGTGGTCCGAGTGTCGTGGTTGACAAAGTAGGACCGACCCAGTGGTGAGATGTGCCATTCCCATCCAGGAACAGCGAGGTATCCAGGATTATCTATTTTTAACGGTGAGTTCATCGCTCCTTATCGCAATTTCATCACTCACCTAGTCGCACTCCTGGTAAAGGTCGGTTCCACGAGGTCATCACGAGCGTGTCATCTTGATATCGTGTTTCACCATCTGATGGTGTCTTAAACTGTTGCCACATGGGAGGAAGTGCTTCATTTCCGCCTGTTTCTAATTGAGTGAGCTGGAAGGTATCACAAGGTAGCTGATCACCTTCCCAAAGTGCGTCCTGGCGGTGCTGTGCACCATATGGTGGTAAATATTTCGCGCTTGTCCGATATATCGATGAGTGCAATGGGACTTCTTCTCGTCTCGTTGACATGCTTGACTCGGCTTCTTCGTGTTGCATGACAGAGATGTCACGTTGAACAGACAGACTGGGCATTGAAATACTGTGCAAAGTCGGTAATCAAGGGGAAGGGAGATATGGGGCAAAAGTGTCGAAGAGACCTGCTATTTGGGTACGTTTTGCATGCTGTGGCCTTGATACCACATATTAATGGGCTCTGTTACCACCGGATCAAGTACTTACCTTGGTCCGGTTCAAATTTTGAGGCAGTTCGATGTACATTGGTATGTTATGTACGTCTCGTCAGTGAGTGGAGTAATATGATGTTTGTTTGAGCGGGTGCATACCATATCGAATATGTACCCTGTGCATAGCGCGTAGCAGAACTCCCAAGCAAAGTACCACCCGGCCAGTAGTGACAAGTGATTGCCTGATTGCATGACCGACGGGAACGTATCTCGGTGTTGGTTACGCAATATTGCTGTAATCAACATCCCCGGGCGTTGATATTGTCTTCTCGTCTACAGCAATTCGCAAAATGGTTGGCACTATCAGACGCGAGGCTTGCGCGAGGCAAAGATTAAGTTAGAAATTAAAATACTTCACACCAAATATGGCAATTACTACACGGCATCATGCAGTCATTAATCGTGACCATGATTCATTGACCGGAAGAACCCTCTGTGATGTAGGCTACGTACGCAGCGTCAACCTGAACGCTCTCACCTGTCTACGTGACCCGCTGCACGACTTTACTTACAGTGTACTAGTAACAACCTCCAGAACGCTCGCTAGGCCCGCCTTCCACGTAACAAGATGCCTCCTTTTACTCTGGCTCAAACGTGCGCGCTAAACGTGTAGACATTGAGTAGTGTACGAGAGCTTTCCCGAAAGAAGATTCAAGACGTTCCGAACAAAATGTCGATGAGTGGTGAGAAGGCAAACATGATGATATGGTGGAGGGACTTACGGATGGGATGTCCACGCGAGTAGTGGACAACACTAGTTGGAGGTGGCCGCCGTCTTCGTGAAGGCATTAAGCGTCGGCGCATACGCCACGCTGCTGTGTCTTGGGAGTTGTGACTTCTGCGACTTCGGGTTCCTAAAGAAAGGCTGAACTAATTTATACGATGCATAAAAGGCTTGATACGCACCCGTGTACCACGTTGGACAAGCATACTATAGTGTATCTATTTTCTTGGTCTTCCATCGGATACCGTTGTTCAGAGGTTGAGCGGGGGTTGGCATGGACAAGAGGTATACTGCATACGTCGTAGAAGTAATTAAACATTAGATGCCGACTGAGATCTTTGGTACTATTATCAATCATACCTTGTGACTTATCGATAAAAGTCCGTGCGTAGGGTTGGTTTTGAGAGGATTGGATATGTTGGCTGCAGACATTCGAATGAAGTCTGAGTATGTGAGCCTCTTGTTGCATTTGCTGGAATGCCATTCTCTTTGCCGAGGCGTCTGGGCGTAGCTATTTTGACGCGGTCCTGCCGCGCCTGCCGCGGTCGTGACGCGGCCGTGACGCGGCGTGACGCGCATGTGACGCGGCACTGACGAGCCTTGACGCGGCACTAACGATCCTTGACGCGACCACTGACGCGCCATTCCTATATTCTATATTCAACTTCCAGATCAAGTTGGATGAGTTCACGACCACTCTTTTGTTATTTTATTTGCCTCAGAGCCATGTACAACTAGGTATACATAAGCCAATGACTATTTTCTTTTCCTCCCTCTCTGGACCCTTCGAGCCTGTGGAGCACATCGACGTTTAACGGGCGGACATTCTTCGGCCGGCAGACAAGGAACTACAGCTTCGGATAGCTCGTCTGCAGACTCCAAAGATGTAGCATCAGAGTTATCACTGAATAAGGGGCCGCGCTGTCAATCACATAAGTTAGATATCTATCGAACGGAGCAGGTAATGTCTTCCTCACTTCAAGTTCACTCTCGCTATAATCTCTTGCAGAAACCCATTCATCAGGAATTCCGAGATACAATTTCCATCGCCTGTGATGTTGGCCAGCATCCAAACCCCACTGCTGGTTGCCTGCAGGTCCTGCTTCTTCGGAATCCTCGAACATCCTTCCTTCTAGTGCGGTCAGACACTCGAGGTCGACATCAGCCACGAAGCTATTGGTAGGATAGCTTATCATGAGATCAGCCCAAGCCATCTTCAACAGCATGCTATCGTTCCATTCTTCGTTTCGAGCTTCGATGCGTTTTTCAAAATCACTGGCCTTTCGGTGAGCAACCACGAGAGTGAAAGCATGCACCAAAGGCAGTTCTATTTGTCAAATCTGAGTTCACAAGGAGAATATGTCGGATGACGCACCTGAACGGTCATAGCAGGGTATGAGGTCCCCAAAACTCAGCAGCGGACCCGGCCGATCTGGATAATTTTGATTCTCTGTCTCGTTGGGATAGAAAAAGTTGAATATATGTTTGATTAATTGCTAAAAGATGGTTATAACAAGTTGACTCCGTATTTTAAAGAACTCACAAAGGCCATGATACGATTTACAAAAGCGCGATAATAACGGTTGTTTCTCGAGCCCAGAGGAGACAACGAAAGAATGCTTAGTAAAATAAATTTATTACTGCCTATGGACAATTACAGTGTACGACGTCTAATTCTGTCAGGATGAAAAGGAACACTGTTAGAATATCAATTATTATGACAGATGTAAAGTAAAATGTACCTAAGTTATACGGACAGTGTGACAGTTGAGGTGGTGAGGTTTGACGCGGCATGTGCTACTTGTGACGCGGCATGAATGAAGTTTGACGCGGCAGTGACGCAGCGTGACGCGCGGGTGACGCGGCAGTGACGAGGTTTGACGCGGCGTGACGCGCCTGTGACGCGGCACTGACGCGGCATGGAGGAGGTTTGACGCGGCAACTGACGCGGCACAACTTGTTTGACGCGGCACTGACGCGCATGTGACGCGGCACTGACGCGGTATGTGCTATGGTTGACGCGGCACTGTAGTAGGTCTCGACGCGGCATAGAGTGTGGATGTTGATATTAGTACAGAGACTGCGAAGATATTTGAGAGAACTTGTCGTGGTGTGAGTAGTGCTTGACGCAGCCTAAACGAGGCTTCTGACATGCCATGGTTGGGGCTCGACGTGTTGGTGTAGGGTATAGAGAGTGGATCAAACTTGGCAGGGTGAGGTCGAAGCTTGACACAGTGAGACAACATTTGACACTGCATCTGAAAACCAACATAGATGAACGAATTAGAGGTAATGCAACAATATAGGACTGACGGCAAGATGCATACTAGTAGTATGAATGCAGAGGACAAGCACTGTAAATTTGGTGAGAGGTGAATACAGCACTATAGAGCCTGTACGCAGGCAGACACTCATATGTTGATCATTAACGATGATTCAAAGTGTTTGGAATGCGATATGAAGTTGTGTAAACATGATTTGTACATAGGAATTTGTTACAGTGCCGCGTCACATATGCCGCGTCAGTGCCGCGTCACAGGCGCGTCACGACCGCGGCAGGCGCGGCAGGGCCGCGTCAATTTCACCTGGTCCGAGGCGTCTGTTGGCAAACAAACAAGTCACTATGCACTTCTGACTCCGACTATCTCTGAATCACCAATACGTTCAAAGTGGCTTCGATGGACCAGTCACCAAAGTAACTTGAAGGTGCTTTCTATAGCCATACACCTCAAAATGGCACCCCGAAAAAACGACCACCGAAGTAAGTACTGGTACTGGAAGGCAGTTAATTGTAAGTTGCTTTAGTCCCTCCGAGGTCTTCGCGTTTCAAGTGGCGATAAGTAATGCATCAAACTTTGAGCTTCAGGAGCTTCGTAAATCGGCAGCACACCATGAGTTTTCAAATCAATCTTTATTTTTCAGTCGATCAAACCTATGTAAGTTATATCATTAGGTGCGTGCTGGTACATTGACCAAATACCGAAGCTGTAACTGTATCTTTTGTCAAGTCGCTCTCCGGCCGGTACATGCGGTGAACGATAAAACGCTTCATCACGGCCGCAGTAAACTAAATTTAAACTTGAACTAACTCAGTGGTCCCCGGTATTTACACTGCTATCCTGATGCGCTCATAGCTCAATAGCTAAGAAGGCTCATGACGTGTGTGAAAGACATTTTTAACCTCTCAATGGAGTATTCGACTGACGATGTCGCAGCAGCAAGGAGTTTGCAGTTTGCCACGGTATGTCTCCTTGTCGATACGAGGATGAATCATAACTGACAAGTCATGTATACCAGTACATATATAGTGCGTACTACTGCCTCAACGTCATATTATTTGTCCTTATACAGCTCAGCGTCGACGGCTACATTCTGGGTAGGCTTCAATTTTCATCTATTCATGTCCGCTGTCGAACTCGCTTATCCAGACCTATGATTATGTATGTTCACTTCATGAAGAGGTAATACACTTCTTCCATGATACGCCTTATATTTGAACACAATATGATACACAAAGTGGACGTTTTTGCATCTATCGAACTGGAGCAAGATGAAAGGCTTGTATATTGTAACAAGATACCTTCCCTTTGTCGTTCTCATCACAGATCTGTATAGTGCGTTCCGCTCCAGCACACATCGCCTTGGCTAATGAATTAACACTTGTTTTTTTAGTGAGCTTTACCCCGAATGAGAACCAAAGTGTATGTAATGAGGTGGAGAGTTAATGAGAACGAGCGACTTACTCCATGACTTCGCCAGAAATGCAGGATGTTGGTCAATATTAGCTCAGGTACGTGCATTATACATTCATTTATGTACAGCCTTACTGAGGGCAGTCCACTTTCACTCACAGGGTTTGAGATGATATTAGCCATTTTCTCCGCGTGTATCTCTTCTTCATCCCTAATATATGCATGTTGCTGATCCGATTCATCCAGGTTTTTTCATCCTCAGAACATATGCACTCTGGAACAGAAATAGAATCTTGCTCGTAACCCTCCTGGGCATTTTTTTCGTGAGTTCGCAATCCACTCACCATACACAAGCCAGTGGTAGATCCATCGACCAGCCGTTTCTCGTAGCATCCGTCAGCATTATCGTCGACACTACCGTTTCTGCGACATGTACGCACTCTCATCTTCCCTCTGGTGTAACTGAAACATTCACTTTCACAGATGCGAGTAGCCCGATCCCGGGCATCACAGGGTGTTACCAGAGTTCAACCAGTGACCGGATTTTTATCCCATTCCTTCTCTTTTCTGTGTTCGGACTGGGTAACCAGGAGCATATATGTGTACCAACACGCGCTGACAGGTGTTCTCCCCAGGGCTCATGATCCTCACGCTCATACGTGCCATACATAGCTGGCGGAGAAATCCAAGCCATCTGTATGTTGTCCTGGTGAACCATAACATATTCTATTATGCTTGCGCTTTCTGTGAGTTAATGCCTGTACATGCCGTTTTTCTGTGCTCATCCATGGTCATTCTATTTCATGAAGTATTCTCGACAATGAACATCTTCACATCGCTGCTCCTCCAGGTGCGTGAATGTTCTAAATGCCTTTTATGATGCGCCGTTGATGTTCTGCGCCCCAGGATACGTACCGGACCGTTTTGAATAGGTATGCACCTCCGCATCCTACTGCGTATTCCTACTAATCACACTCGAAATGTACACGCACGTGCAGTTTCCAGTTTTTGACCCTCGCGATTGTTGCCGCGCGCATGCACATCCATCTCTGGCAGACAAGCCAACATCTACGCGGCTTGGTTCATATTCCATTGTCCGACATGTCATCTGTGAACGTCACGGAGTGATGTCTTGTCCTGCGGTTTATTCAGTGTCGCTCATAGAGCGAGGCTTGGACCACACGAGATGATTGGTGGGGATTTGGTAGAGTTCGTCACATGTTTGATGTACAGGATGAGTCTGTTGCGGGGCGCGTGGAGCATTTGGATGTCCTTGGTCCATTTAACAACTGTAGTTTCAGCTACTAGTACACACGATAATGTATACTACGACAAAGTGCACTTGGTCATCCATGCATACTTATGGTATATCGACATTCAGTACTTAACCTTTTTGCACATTCTGACCTTGTTTGTATTCGATCTCCTGTGCCGTTCGGATATTCTATGTGGGAGCGGCTGGGTCATCACACTGGCACAAGTTCATGCTTGCTTCGATCATGCGTTCCCTTATTGAGAGAAATAGATCAATTTCGTGCGCCTGTACATGTAACGGAGCGAGCTATGTGAAGATACATGATGCGTAAGAGATAATCGAGTAACATGGTTCCTAGATGATGTCATGACTGACGCAAAGTGGAAGGACGACCAAAGTACATTCTGCAGCAGCAACAGGTAACTGAAACTTCTCCCGTCCCATTAGTTGACTGGTGTGTTTGGATTGGTTGTGCTTGAGATGATTGTGCCCCAGCTGGTTGACCTGATTGCGTTGAACTGTCGGCCTGGTTGCTGTTCGTACGTTCCATAGCTGCGGCCGCTTCTGCATCAGTTTCATGGATAATGCCATATCTCTGCATGGTATTTCAATGCAACGAAATTGGAGGGACGACGAGTCACTCACATCTTCGTCTTGAGCAAGAGGTACGTCGACGGTGCGAGTGGAATGTCCTCCAGAAAACAACTTGAGGTTGATATTCCAGTGTCGGGGCCGTCGTTCGATTGATTGGGATGTATGTACAGGTCGTGTGCCGAAATGTATGGAATTGAGTAGACGACGCCAACGAACAAGGGACAATGGGCTTGCGGGAGGAGCTGCACGACGAGACGCGTGGTCTGATTCGTCGCCAAAGAAATCATTGCCCTGTATCTTGTTGTCAGGCGAGAAAGGTCAAGAACAAGAAAGTACACTGACATATCTTGCCAGTCCTGTTTTTTTGGCCTGCTGATTAGATGCAAGACGGGGGGGTCAAAGGTCTAGCGAGATATATAAGAAACGGCGGGGTTGCTCACGATTGGTGGGCGCACAACTCTCGGTTGGGTTGGTCGTCCCTAGTAAAAAATGACATGCAGTGTGAAAGAGAAGCAGAGATGAATCGATGACTTGCCTGGAGCTTTACATTGGCATCATCTGCGCCCTAGATGGCCAAAATTGTTAGGAAGGGAAATTAGATAACAAAGCGCATACGGACCAGAACGTTTTTGAGCGCCGCCTCCAGGCTCCATACATAGATTTTTTTGTCTATTCCAGCGCTGGCAATGTATTTTCCATCGGGGGACATGACAACAGCCCAGAGTTGGTCATCATGCAAGAGTGGATCTCCGACTGCCTGATTGGTCTTGAGATCCCAGATCCGAATGGAGAAGTCATACGATCCGCTAACAATATAGCTTTCATTGGAAGTAAGGCAGAGGGATGTGACGGCTTGGGTGTGACCGGTTGACCCCGAAGAACGACGAGTTCCTGTCCATCAATAACCCGCCATTTTCGGATAGTTTTATCAAGTGAAGCAGAGAAGATGTGTGCACCGTCCTTGGAACAACGCAATGACGTCACATCGCCCTCATGTCCTTTGATCTCGATAAGCAGCTTGCCATTCCTTGACCATATGCAGATCGGACCGTTCCCACCGCTCATGATTTTGTCGCCTTTTGGAGAGTATTTAACGGCCATAACCCATCCGTGACTGGTCTCTATGCGTGGTGCTATTTGTCGACCAATATTCGGGTTCCAGCGTCGTATGGTGCCATCTTCAGATCCACTTGCTATCTCCAGGGAACTGGGAGGCCAATCAAGGCACATCACTGGAGCATTATGCCCCTCCCATGGGTCGCCGATCATGCTGCCCTCCTTTATATTCCACATCCGCAGTCTGCCGTCTTCACTCCCACAAATGACCGTTGTTTCATCCGGAGATACTGCCATCGAACCTAAACCTCCCCCGTCGTTATTCAGAGGTTTTCCCACTGCCTCTCCGTCTCTTTTCCACTGACGAATCGAACTATCGTCAGACGCGCTCATTACATTGCCACTGGTACCCAAGTAGGCAAGGCTCCATATGCATCCAGAGTGACCCTCGATGATACACTCCGACATTAAGCTTCCTGCCGGACGTTCTGGCTTCGGTTTCTTCCACGACGTGGTCCGAGCGTTGTGGTTGACAAAGTAGGACCGACCAAGTGGTGAGATGTGCCATTCCCATCCAGGAACAGCGAGATATCCAAGACCATCTGTGTTCGACGGTAAGTTCGTCGCTCCTTGTCGCAATTTCATCCCTCATCTAGTCGCACTCCTGGTAAAGGTCGGTTCCACGAGGCTATTGAGAGCATGTCATCTTGATACATTGTTTCCCCATCCGACGAGGTCTTATACTGTTGCCACATAGGAGGAAGCGCTTCATTCCCGCCTGATTCTAATTCAGTAAGCTGGTAGGTATCACAAGATAGCTGCTCACCTTCCCAAAGTGCATCCTGGCGGTGCTGTGCACCATATGGTGGTAAATATTTCGCGCTCGTCCGATATATCGGTGAGTGCAATGGGACTTCGTCTCGTCTCGTTGACATGCTTGACTCGGCTTCTTCGTGTTGCATGACAAAGATGTCACGTTGTACAGACAGACTGGACAGTGAAATACTGCGCAACGTCAGTAATCGAGGGGAAGGAGAGATACGGGGCGAAAGTGTCGAAGAGACCTGCTATTTGGGTCAGTTTTGCATGCTGTAGTTGCAGGCGCCTTGCTGACGCCGCATGCCAATGGCTGTGTTACCACCGGATCAAGTACTTATCTTGGTCCGGTCCAAGTTTTGAGGCAGTACATTGGTCTGTTATGTACGTCTCGTCAGCGAGTGGAATAACATGATGTTTGTTTGATCAGGTGCATACACATGTCGAATCGGTAGTATGTACGCTGTGCATAGCAGCACTCCCAGCAAAGTACCACCAGTAATGACAAGTAATTGCCTGATTGCATGACCGACGGGGATGTATCTTGATATTGGTTGCGCAATATTACTGTATTCATCATCTCTGGGCGTTAATAGTGCCCAAACCAAAGTTTTCTCATCTTAGGAAGCAGAGAGTTCGAAATCAAAGCCGAAATCATGTTCAGAACTTCGGATGGACTTCACCAGTGTTCCCACAAATAGCAGTCCACAACCGTGGTCTTGATTCACTGACCAGAGGAACCCTGATGTAGGCTATGCGGCATCAGCCTGAACGCTCTCACCTGTCTGCGTGACCTGCTGCACGACTTCACCCACAGCCAAACCGTTACCGCGTTTTTGTGCACTAGTGACAACCTCCAGCACGCTCGCTAAGCCCCCTTCCACGTAACAAGACGCCTTCCATTGCTCTCGCTCAAATGTGCGCGCTGCCGAACGGTAAATGTGGAGAGCTTCCCGAACGAAGATTTAAGACATTCTGAAGAAAAAATCCTGTTAGCACACATCAACATTTGTCTCCATAATCGATCATCACCTTGAGTAGAATCAAAGTAACGCACCATAGAGCTTCCGCCCCGGCGCAAGCTGAGGAACCACCTCCAACGTGTGAACCTTCAAAGCTAGACAGCCAACTCCATAGCACAAGTTTGAAGAACACGAGAAGGGTATTTGAATCTCGTCTTCTTGCACGGCAACATCCACAATATGGGCAGTTTGTTAGACAACGCGATGTGCAAGTGGGACGGGGACAATGTACTTATTGTGCAGGAATCGTTGGAAGGCGATGCAGATTCATCTGCACAAATGATCAATGCGAATGACATTTAACTGAATAAATGAAGAGGTCGAACCTGCAGATTCATCATCGCCTAGCTGTGGAGGACCAGGCCATTGCTGAACTAATAACCAACACATCAGATCAATGTTACTCCGATAATGGGGTATACTCACACCCACCACTAATTCCCCGCTCCAATCTCTCGTCTGTTCACGCTCCCTCGTCCCCAAAGGCTGCATATTATCATTCTGCTATCGCCTGCGGGTTCGTTCCAACTTGAGGCATAGTGCTTTAGCGGACCTGCGGGTTTGGAAAGACTCGCCTCTGGTATAGTGGGTAGTGCTTGACGGGGTTGTTCAGGAGATGGGACGATCTCTGGGGTGCCGAAGATGTATACGTACATGTAGATGTAGAGGTGAATTTGGATATAGGTGTAGATGCGGTGAAGTCGCAGAGATATCGGATAATGTCTATGAGTGGTGAGAAGACAAACATGATGATATGATGTAGGGACTTGCGAATGGGATGTCCACGAGAGTAGCGGACAACACTAGTTGGAGGTGGCCGCCTTCGTGAAGGCATGAGCATCAGAGCATACATCATGCTGCTGTGTCTTGGCAGTTGGGTATGAAGTCGAATTTGACTTCTGCGACTTCGGGTTCCTAAAGAAAGGCTGAACTGATTTATACAGTACGTAAAAGGATAGTGTGTCTATTTTCTTGGTCTGCCATCGGATACCGTTGTTCAGAGGTTAAGCGGGGTGTGGCATGGACAAGAGGTATATTTGATACGTCGTATAGGTAATTAAACGTTAGTTGCCGACTGAGGTCTATTCATACCTTGTGGCTTATCGATAAAAGTCCGTGTGTAGGGTTGGTTTTGAGAAATTTGGATAGTGTTTTGCTGAAATGCCATTCTCTTTGCCGAGGTGTCTGTTGGCAAACAAACAAGTCACACTTCTGACTCGGGCCAGGTGAAATTGACGCGGCCCTGCCGCGCCTGCCGCGGTCGTGACGCGCCTGTGACGCGGCACTGACGCGGCATATGTGACGCGGCACTGTAACAAATTCCTATGTACAAATCATGTTTACACAACTTCATATCGCATTCCAAACACTTTGAATCATCGTTAATGATCAACATATGAGTGTCTGCCTGCGTACAGGCTCTATAGTGCTGTATTCACCTCTCACCAAATTTACAGTGCTTGTCCTCTGCGTTCATACTACTAGTATGCATCTTGCCATCAGTCCTATATTGTTGCATTACCTCTAATTCGTTCATCTATGTTGGTTTTCAGATGCAGTGTCAAATGTTGTCTCACTGTGTCAAGCTTCGACCTCACCCTGCCAAGTTTGATCCACTCTATACCCTGCACCACCACGTCAAGCCCCAACCATGACATGTCAGAAGCCTCGTTTAGGCTGCGTCAAGCACTACTCACACCACGGCAAGTTCTCCCAAATATCTTCGCAGTCTCTGTATTAATATCAACATCCACACTCTATGCCGCGTCGAGACCTACTACAGTGCCGCGTCAACCATAGCACATACCGCGTCAGTGCCGCGTCACATGCGCGTCAGTGCCGCGTCAAACAAGTTGTGCCGCGTCAGTTGCCGCGTCAAACCTCCTCCATGCCGCGTCAGTGCCGCGTCACAGGCGCGTCACGCCGCGTCAAACCTCGTCACTGCCGCGTCACCCGCGCGTCACGCCACGTCACTGCCGCGTCACCCGCGCGTCACGCCACGTCACTGCCGCGTCAAACTTCATTCATGCCGCGTCACAAGTAGCACATGCCGCGTCAAACCTCACCACCTCAACTGTCACACTGTCCGTATAACTTAGGTACATTTTACTTTACATCTGTCATAATAATTGATATTCTAACAGTGTTCCTTTTCATCCTGACAGAATTAGACGTCGTACACTGTAATTGTCCATAGGCAGTAATAAATTTATTTTACTAAGCATTCTTTCGTTGTCTCCTCTGGGCTCGAGAAACAACCGTTATTATCGCGCTTTTGTAAATCGTATCATGGCCTTTGTGAGTTCTTTAAAATACGGAGTCAACTTGTTATAACCATCTTTTAGCAATTAATCAAACATATATTCAACTTTTTCTATCCCAACGAGACAGAGAATCAAAATTATCCAGATCGGCCGGGTCCGCTGCTGAGTTTTGGGGACCTCATACCCTGCTATGACCGTTCAGGTGCGTCATCCGACATATTCTCCTTGTGAACTCAGATTTGACAAATAGAACTGCCTTTGGTGCATGCTTTCACTCTCGTGGTTGCTCACCGAAAGGCCAGTGATTTTGAAAAACGCATCGAAGCTCGAAACGAAGAATGGAACGATAGCATGCTGTTGAAGATGGCTTGGGCTGATCTCATGATAAGCTATCCTACCAATAGCTTCGTGGCTGATGTCGACCTCGAGTGTCTGACCGCACTAGAAGGAAGGATGTTCGAGGATTCCGAAGAAGCAGGACCTGCAGGCAACCAGCAGTGGGGTTTGGATGCTGGCCAACATCACAGGCGATGGAAATTGTATCTCGGAATTCCTGATGAATGGGTTTCTGCAAGAGATTATAGCGAGAGTGAACTTGAAGTGAGGAAGACATTACCTGCTCCGTTCGATAGATATCTAACTTATGTGATTGACAGCGCGGCCCCTTATTCAGTGATAACTCTGATGCTACATCTTTGGAGTCTGCAGACGAGCTATCCGAAGCTGTAGTTCCTTGTCTGCCGGCCGAAGAATGTCCGCCCGTTAAACGTCGATGTGCTCCACAGGCTCGAAGGGTCCAGAGAGGGAGGAAAAGAAAATAGTCATTGGCTTATGTATACCTAGTTGTACATGGCTCTGAGGCAAATAAAATAACAAAAGAGTGGTCGTGAACTCATCCAACTTGATCTGGAAGTTGAATATAGAATATAGGAATGGCGCGTCAGTGGTCGCGTCAAGGATCGTTAGTGCCGCGTCAAGGCTCGTCAGTGCCGCGTCAGTGCCGCGTCACATGCGCGTCACGCCGCGTCACGGCCGCGTCACGACCGCGGCAGGCGCGGCAGGACCGCGTCAAAATAGCTACGCCCTTCTGACTCCGATGTATCTCCGAATCACTAATGGTGATGCTGTTCAAACTTCAAAGTGGGTATTTCTGCACCAAAGTAAAGGTCCTTTCTAATATCTAGCTATAGCCACACGGTATATATAATATCCGTTCATCCAAAGAGGTTAACTACCTCAAAATGGTACTCCAAAAAAACGACCACCGAAGTAAGTACTGCTGGAGGCTCCCTCTGAGGGTTTCGCGTTTCAAGCAGCAATAATGCATCACACTTCGAGCTTAAGGAGCTTCATAAATTGGGGGCCAGCACATCGGCGAGTTTTCAAATCAATCTTTGTTTTTCAATTGATCAAACCTATGTAAGTTATATTATTAGGTGCGTGCTGGTAAATTGACTAAACGCCGAAGCTGTAACTGTATCTTTTGTTAAATCGCTCCCCGGCCGGTACATCGAGTGGAACACATTTTTTGACCTCTACATGGAGTATTCGACTGACGATATCGCAGCAGCAAGGAGCTCGCAGTTTACTACGGTGTGTCTCCTTGTCGCTATGAGGGCGAATCATAACTGACAAGTCATGTACAATCAGTACATATTCAGTACGTACTGTCTTAAATCCATGTTCTTTGTCCTGACACAGTTTAGTGTCAATGGCTACAATATGGGTAGGCTTCTTCTCATCTATTCATTGTCCGCTGTTAAACTCCCATATCCAGACCTATGATTATGCGTGTTCGTTTCATGAGGAGGTAATACACTCGTTCCATGATATACTTCGGTTTGATACTCACAATATGCTGTGCAAAGTGGACATTTTTACTTCAATCGCACTGGAGCAAGATGAAAGGCTTGTATATTGTCACACGATATACGCCCTTTATCATTCTCGCCATGGACCTATACAGTGCGTTCCACTCTAGCACGCATCGTCCCGATGATCAATTAACACTTGTTTTTCAGTGAGCTTTACCCCGAATGAGAACCCAGGTGTATGTGCTGCAGTGCATAGTCAACGAGAGCGAACTACTTATTGCGTGACTTCGCCAGAAATGCCGGGTGTTGCAAAATATCAATCCAGGTCTGTGCATGGTACATTCATCTATGCACATCATTGCTGAAGGCTACTGCTTTCCTCTGACAGGTCTTGGCTTTGTAATAGTAATGTTCTCCGAATGTATATCTCGTTCACCTGTATTATGTGTATCTCTGATGTGATTCATTCAGGTTTTTTTATCCTCAGAACATATGTGCTCTGGAACAAAAATAGAATCTTGCTTGTAGCCATGCTGTCGACCTTATTGGTGAGCTCTCTAATGTATTCACCACACCCGAGCTAGTGGCAGATGCATCAGCCAGTCCTTTCTCATAGCAACCTACAGCATCATCTTCGCAATCGGCATCCCCGCAGCATGTACTCACTTTTACCTTCTTTGTGGCGTTCCATGACCACTAAAACATTTTGTTTACTTTCACAGATGCGACTAGCCCGATCCCGGGAATCCCAGGATGCTACCAGAGTTCGACTAGTTTCTGGTATTTCATACCATTCCTTCTCCTTTCCGTGTTCGAATTGGGTGGGTAACCAGGAGCATCTATGTGTACACGCGCGCACTGACAGGTGTTCTCCCCAGGACTCATGATACTCACGCTCATACGCGCCATACAGGACTGGAGGACAAACACAAGCCGTCTGTACGTTGTCCTGGTGAACCACAACATATCCTATTATGCATGTGGTCTTCGTGAGTTCACACTCGTACACGCCGTTTCTCCGTACTCATTCATGATCATCCTCTTTCTTGAAGTGTTCTCGGTAGCGAACATATTCACGTCGCTGCTCCTCGAGGTGCGTGAATCTATCAAATACCCTTTTTGACCGGGCATTGATGTTCTGTCCCAGTACTCTTACCACAGCGTGTTATATGAGTACGCAAATCTACATCCTACTATGTGTTCCTACTAACAATACCCGACATATACACACATAGTTTTCAATTCATGATGCTTGCAATCCTCGCCACACGCATGCACCTCCATCTCTGGCGGACGAACCGGCATCCACACGGCTTTACTAGCAGCCTCGTGCATATTACAATGTCCGACATCTCATTTGCAAATCCCATGCTGTGATGTCTTATTCTGTGGCTTATTCGGTGCCGTTCATGGAGCGAGGCTTGGACTGTACCAGATGATTGGTGGGGGCGGGCTTGGTAGAGTTTGTCACGTGCTTCAGTTATAAGATGACTCTGTCGTGGGATGGTGAGAGCATTTGGCTATTTAACACCTATATTTTCCACTGTCAGCCGCGGCGGAGAGATCCATAGTTTGAGCGTGTTAGAGCCAAAACCAAGGATGATTTGATTTTTCTCCTGTCGCCAGTGCACATGATCATTTATACTACGAGACATTCGGCTTGATCACGCACAGCCATCGATGGTCGCTCATATGGAGAAGGAGGAGTTCATGACAAAGTTAAGGCAGGGTGCGCACTCACGTCAACGTGGTTGAACCTTCTCACTTACGTTTATTTATGCAGGGATATTCCAAAGAACAATCGTGTTAGTCAACATCTATATATACATGCCTCTGGCAATGCAGCAAGTACTATATGCGCTGCAGCTTGGGCTTTGCACCCCGACCGGGACCCGGAACTCTCAGCACCTCAGTAACGTGTCCAACAACGGGGACCAGGCAACTCATGCAAGGCTGCCGATTCTGTAAGTACAAGTTTATACGAGCTACAACACAATAATATACCTCAGCGAGAACAAACACTGAGTGAAAACATATACAAGTGAACCGCTGCTAATGCCATGTTTTTATTTTTATTTTTATTTAGGCTCATCAATCTTGCGGAGGCTATGCATCCGAATCCGAGACTGACCGTCAGCGTACGTATATACGTAACCAACAGTTGAAACGTTCCATCACGACCACGGCACCTTGATGGGTTCACAGCTCATTAATAAGAGCTAAAAAGACGCATGATGTGTGTACGAAACTCAGATTTTCACCTCTAGATGGAGTATTCGACTGACGATATCGCAGCAGCGAGGAGCTTGCAGTTCACTAAGGTGTGTCTCCTTATCAATATAAGAATGAATCATAATTGACAAGTCATGTACCATCAGTACATGCACAGTGCGTGCTGTCTCAACCCCATATTATTTGTCCTAACACATTTCAGCGTCAATGGCTACAATCTGGGTAGGCTCGTTTTAATGTATTCACTTCCACTGTCAAACCCGCTTATCCGCCTGCAGATCTATGGCTATGCGTGTTCACTTGATGAAGAGGTAATACACTTGTTCTATAATAAACCCTGGTTCTGATACACACAATGTGTTGTACAAAGTGGGCATTTTTGCTTCGATCGCATTGGACCAAGATGAAAGGCTTGTATATTGTTGCACGATTTCTCCCCTTAATCTTTTGCGCCACGAGTCTATATAGTGCGTTTCGTTCCAGTAAACATCACCCCGATGATGAATTAAGACTTTTTTTCAGTGGACCTTACCCCATCGAATGACAGTGTAGATGTATGTGGTGCGCTTAATGAGAACACACAACTTATTGCATGACTTCGTCAGGCATGCCGAATGTTGGTCAATGTTGAATCAGGTACGTGCATGGTACACCCATGTATGTACATCCTTACCGAATGTTGCAACTTTTCTGTCACAGGTCTTGGCCTAATATTAGGCGATTTATCCGAATGTATCTCGTCCCCCCGTGCTACATGTATATTTCTGATCTGATTCATCTAGGTTTGTTCATCCTCAGAACATATGTGCTCTGGAACAAGAATAGAACCTTGCTTGCAGCCATACTGTGCTCCTTTTTCGTGTGTTCCCAATCCACTCGCCATACTCAAGCTAGTATTAGACGCATCGACCAGACTCTTAGTGCAACAACCATCAGCATTACCCTCGCCGCTGTCGTCCCAAAAGGCATGCACTCGCTCCTACCTTCTCTATGGCGTTCCACGAACACTAAAATATTCTGTTCACTTTCACAGGTGCGACTAGCCCGATCCCAGGAATCACAGGGTGCTACCAGAGCTCGACCAGTTACCAGTTCTTCATACCATTTCTTCTCCTTTTTGCATTTCAACTGGGTGAGTAACCAGGTGCATGTATATGTACAAACACGCGCTGACACTGTTCTTTCCAGGACTCTTGATACTCACACTCATACATGCCATACAGGACTGGCGGACAAACACAAGCCATCTGTACGTTATCCTGGTGAACCATAACATATCCTATTATGTATGCGGTCTTTGTGAGTGAACACTTGTACGTGTCATTCTTCTGTAATCATTCTCTTTCCTGAAATGCTCTCGTCAATAAACATATTTACATCGCTGCTCCTCCGTGTGCGTGAATCTATTCAATGCCCTCTATGATCGAGCCATTGATGTTCTGCGCCCCAGTACTCTGACCACAATGTGTCCTATGAGTATGCACCACCCCATCTTGCTGCCTATTCCTACTGATAATTGTACATCCATGTATAGGTTCCAGGTCGAGATTCTTGCAATCTTAGCCACGCACATGCACCTCCATCTCTGGCAGGTGAATCAACATCTACACGACTCTAGTGGCACCCTCTTTTCAATGTCCGACATCTCATTTGAAAATCACACGGTGTGATGTCGTATCCCATAGCTTATTCAGTGTTGTTCGTGGGGCGAGGCTTGGACCATACAAGATGATCGGCGGGAGTGGGCTCGATAGAGTTCTGTTACGTGCTTAATTTATAGGATGAGTCTGTCGCATGGTGCACAGCGTTGGACGGGTATATGATGGTTCTTAGTCTTTCAATCAGGTGCAGAGACTGAAAGTTAAAGGTGTATTTGACCTGTCAATTAAATGTTGATTCAACTGGGAGATTTAAGTTTACTTGGCTGTTTAAACTTTCGCCTCGAGGCGTTATTTGGTCTCACAACTGTTGCCAAACAAACGGCATTGATCACTTCAACGTTCCTGTGACACCTGCGAGTCATCTATCAACAGAAACTCACGACTTCAATTGTTTCCGTGTTTGACAGTACAGCGCTCCAGCTGCAGAATTCGCGGATCATTGCAATTCATAGGTTCTAACCTTCGCATATGAATGAACTCGTGACCCAGTACGTACTGTCTGCACTGCATCTTGCTTATAACTTGACAGTTCAGCGTCAATGGTTGGTTACGGTCAAACGTTGAGCGTAACAATCACCTTCCACGAAAAAATTAATGAGGGCCGAGTACTTGGAAGAGTTTCATTGATCTCGAGCTTTGAAAGCCAGGTCCCTCCAACTCGAACGTGGTTATTTCAGAAGCAGGGACAAGTACAATAAGCACACGCGAGTTTCCGAATTGAATTGTGCATTACCTAACTGTAAAGTATATAAGTTCTTAGAGTTCAGTCTAGAAGGGGGCGGTAAACCCGTTCACAACCACCTCTTGAACGACCCGGCGGGATGAAGACGGACTATTCGGCTGACGATATCGCAGCAGCGACGAGTTTGCAGTTCTTGTTGAGAGCCGATGTGTCCGAGGGAAGTAAGGCCGAGAGAGAGAGAGCCGAGAAAGGAAAGGACGATACGGCCGAAGAATAGAGCACATCGAGTGCGAGCGTCTCCAAACGGAGAACGTCGACGACGTGTCAACGTCGGCAATCTTTTCGTTCTTTAAGTATATATTTTTCATCAAAGCTATTGCTGGCAGACTCACCGTATAAGAGGACGCTGTTTTCGTCGTTGCGTCTCAGATTCGAAACGAATACTGAGACGTAAGTACAAGTCCCACTGTAACATTCGAGCGCAAGCGCTGACGTACATCTAGTCGTACCTTTGTTCTAGGTACAAACAATTGTTAATAGAGATTCGAAACGAATACTGAGACTCGTACCTTTGTTCTAGCGTGTCGTAAAACCTCCCGCGTGTATCGTTCCTCCACAGGTTATGAGCCCTGACTCCTCCATGGACTCGTCGACTCCCAGCACCAATTCAAACCTTTTTAACATCCCGAAGCTCGCCGAAGACGGCTCGAACTGGATAACCTACAAGGAAAGGACGTTAACGGCTATAGGTGCACGAGGACTTACGAGATATACCGATGGACGAGCTAAAGAGCCTACGCCTTTCGTAAAGAGCTCTACGGGGGCCGTCACGAAGCCGGATGGTACAACACCTACGCAGAAAGAAATCGATGAGCTCGACGCAAAGACCGATGAGTATCAACAAAAGAACTCACTCGTAAAACAGCAAATATTTTGCACGATCACAGATCGGCTGCTGTTACACGTCCAAAAGTTAGCATCCGCGTCCGAAATCTGGAAGGAAATATGCCACATACATGAAGGCAAAACCGAACTCGTCCAGATAGATCTGAGACGGAGGCTCCAGGAGACGAGGTGCGAAGAAGGTGGTGACGTCAAGGCTCATTTTTCAGAGCTTTTGCGCCTGAGGGAGTCGTTAGCTGGAATGGGGGTAGCCGTCGTTGATACGGACTTTCATGCCATCATCCTAGGGTCCTTACCTGAATCCTACCGGCCGCTACTGTCGTCGATGAATGCAGCGGCCAAGATAACGAAAACTCCCCTCTCGCCCTACGAACTCATCACCATCATCACAGAGGAATACGAGCACCGGTTACTCACCGAACGACGTCCCAACAAACGCGTGACCAACAGTGCGCTCTCCGCGAGAACAAGCGCAGGGAGGAGCACGAGCTCACAGAGCTCGGCTCCAAAATCCAACCCCGACGCAGTCTGTACGAACTGCGATCGTAAGGGCCACTGGAAGAGTGACTGTTGGCGAAAAGGTGGAGGAAAAGAAGGTCAGGGGCCGAATCAATGGCAGAGACAAGGAGGACGCACCCAAAAACAAAGTGCCAATGTAGCCAAAGAGCCAGAGCCAAAGGACAACTACGCTTTCGCTACGTCAGACCTCGCAGTCATAGCAAAATCGATGGACGTACCTCCAGAGCGCCAAGGAGCAATAGTAGACTCCGGCGCGACCTCTCATTTCTGCCCGGATAGGGCAAAATTCGTATCCTTCGTCAAGATCGCCCCGCAGAAGATATACACTGCGAATGGAGCTACTGTCAATGCGACAGGACGAGGAGACGTGAGGATGGACTTACCGTTGGGCTCGAAACGAACGACCGTGATGCTAAAAGACGTCCTATATGCCCCCTCCATGGCATTTACCCTTATCTCCACCAATAAGATCGCCTCCGCCGGTTTGGCCGTGCTGTTCGAAGGAGGAATGTGCAGGATACTGTCTGCTCCCCCCGAACGAAGGACGATCGCAGAAATACCCCAAGTCCAGGGACTTTACGCTGTAACGTCTGACCGTAAGCATCGTGCCAACGTCGCCAGGACAAAGCTTACCATCAATGATGTCCATCGTGCCCTAGGGCACGTATCACATGCGGCCCTTCTTGACTGCGTCAAGAAGGGCCTAATCCTGGGCATAGACATAGATCCGGCGCCCGCCATCCAGTTCTGTGAAGTCTGCGTGAAAGCTAAGTCAGCTCAGCAGTCCTTCCCAAGAGAAACGAAGATGCGCGCACTTACATACGGAGAACTAGTCCATACGGACCTCTGGGGACCGGCGCAGACGACGAGTTTGGGAGGCTGTAAATATTATGTCAGTTTCACGGACGACTTTAGCTGGCAGACGCGACTCGAGTTCCTCAAACAAAAGAGTGACGCACTTACCGCGTTCAAGTCCTATGAGGCATGGGTGGCCCGTCAATCACCAGGTGTGCGCGTGCGCAAAATCCGTTCGGACAGAGGAGGAGAGTATCTGAGCGCCGAGTTCGATCAATACTTGCGTCAGCAAGGTATAGAGCGGCAGCTAACAGTGCACGACTCACCCCAACAGAATGGTGTCGCCGAACGACTCAACCGGACACTCGTCGAGCATGCGAGAGCAATGCTCCTAGGCAGAGATATGCCAAAGTACCTGTGGGCCGAGGCCGTTAGTTACGCCACTTGGCTCAAGAATCGCCTACCTTCAAGGGCGATCCCAGGTAGCACGCCCTACGAGTTGGTGCGCAAGTCCAAGCCGGACTTGTCGCAGGCCCATGAATTTGGGGCCAGGGTCTTCGTCCATATGCTGGAGGCTGGTAAGCTGGAGGCGAGGGCGGAGGAGGCAGTTTTTGTGGGGGTAGACGCTGAAAGTAAAGGATACCGGGTGTATTGGCCCGGCAGACGGCGTGTCTCGGTGGAGAGGAATGTGACCTTCACGCCGATCCTGGCAGCCGATGGTATGCCGGACGAGGGGGAGTCTGCTGTAGTCAACGAACATAACAGCGGCAACGGTAATAATAACTCACCTAGTAGCGTCCAGCCCATCACCATGCCACAGCAACCTCAACCTTCTACTCCTAAGCAACCCCAACCATCTACTCCTCAGCAACCTCAACCTTCTACTGCCCAGCAACCTCAACCATCTACTCCTGAAGCGAGGTCGACGAGGGTAAGACCACCCCCAGGGTACTATGCGGCGCTGAATGAGGGCCAAACGGCAGCCCTAACCATGGAAAGCCTGTTGGAAGCGTCAGAACTCGACCTCTTGGATGAAGAGGTGCATATTCACCTAGCATTGGCCGCCGTCCAACCAGAACCGACCCTCCAACAAGCCTTGAAGGGCCCAGACGCTGCAGAGTGGCAAGAAGCCATCAATTACGAAGTCAGTCAACTCGAGAAGCTAGGTATGTGGGAAATCGTAGACGCACCTCGAGGCGTAAACCTTATCCCATGCCATTACGTCCTGGCCACAAAGCGCGGGCCGGACGGCGAGAAGCTGAAGCTTCGCGCGCGCCTAGTTGCAAATGGGCAGCGCCAGAAGTACGGGGTCGATTTCTTCGAAACCTTCGCCCCCATGGCCAATATGAGCACGATACGTGCAGTCCTAACGATGGCTGCTCAGCGCGACTGGGAAATACACCAAGTCGATATTAAAAGTGCGTACCTATATGCGAGTCTGCAGGAGGACATATATATGCGAGCGCCCCCTGGATACTTGAAGGATGGTCAGGAAGGGAAGGTACTGAAGCTGAAAAGAAGCTTACCTGGACTCAAACAAGCAGGATATGAGTGGGCGCAGGAGCTAGCTGGAGCCTTCAATGAAATGGGCTTCAGCAGGTCAAAAGTAGATCAAGCCGTTTTCTACAAACGCACCT